CCTGCCTGCCTGCCTGCCTGCCTGCCTGCCTGCTATGATTCTTGTATCCCATGTAGCTAAATTTTACATATTTCTGCCAACTTCATAGCAACTATAATGTGTTTACGATTTATGAAGCTGCAGGATCCTCTCCTGGTAGGACCAAGAAAAGAAAAACCCTTATGTTTACAATATTTTGCTCAAATTAATTAAAAGTGTTTGCTAAGTAGAAGGATAATTTTAGTTCTTTTTTTTTTCTAATCATGCTTTCATTGTCAAGTTGCTGGTTATCCTTGTAACGTTTTTGCCTATTGTTCCTAACACTTGTTTAGGTGGCTTGCTTTGTCCAGCGTCTGCCCGGTTGCAAAGAGCAGGCCGCACTCTTCCGACAAGAGGTAAGTTAGCTTGTTTTAGGCTTCTGGAGAGTCATAACATCTTTCTCTGCAGGGAATGGTTTCAAAATTTGTGTTGGAGAATAGAAATTGTGCCAAATTAAGCCACATTTAGTTCCGGAGTAAGTTAGTAGATGTATTCTGTAAAACTGGATAAATCCTGCAAACGAAGCAGATTTGCCTATTCTTTTATTCCTTTCACAGTCACTGGAGAAAGTTGTTATGTAGAATAGGGTCAGTGTCTGCTTACTCCAGTTGCTTTGAACAAACAGAAACTTTTGCCATTCAACACTTTGGGAGTGTTGGCATCCAATGCCTCTTTTGGACACTGACTTTACTTTGGCTTGCTAGAATACTCAATTGTTTTCAGTGGACATTTAATCTTGAGTTGTATTTGAAAAGTGGAATAATTAAAAATAATCTACTTTTTGGAGTAACTGAACTGTTTGCAAGGTAGGTGCTTTTAGAATGTTACAGTGACGTTTTTCAGCTTTAAGTTAAATGATGAATAGTAAAAGAGTATATTTTTATGACCATCTACTGTTGATCAATGGTTCACTCCGAGAACAAGAGATAGCCTGGTCAAAACTGTAATCTTGATTCAGTTACATTCCATTTTACTCTCTATCCTCCAAGAGGAAGATTCATCTATTCTCATATCCTTAGAGAAACCAGGAATAGTCTCCCAAACTTACTGGAGAGACCTTTCATTATTCATGGAGTTCACTATTGTTCTCAACTACTCATTTCCCACATGCTAGAACTTTACATACTTCCATAAAAAAAAATCCCCTTTCTCTCATCTGTCCATTACCAGTCTCCCAATTCCCCTTTCAGCCAAAACATGACCTGATGTGCAGACACTGAAGCAGCCATAAATACACCACCCCAAACCTTACAATTGTAAATCACTTGCATAATACCTATTGCAGTAGTAAGACTCTTAGAAATCCCAGTTGATGCCTTAACTCTCCAGTCTTCAGAAAATTTTTAGTTTTGTTTTCTTGGAGATTTTAGGTTTTACCTGGTATGTACAATATCCTTCATTCTTTCTGATCATTGCATGTAACCCATAAAACTGCAGTTAATGCCACAGAATTATTCCCATCTTTGGAAGCAGGAGGAAACTCTTCAGATTGTTTACAGAAGTCAGCACAATTGGTTGATTATTTATTTGTTTATTTCCCCTGGGAATTATTTCCATCCTTAAACTGTCATTGGGGGTCCTGTTTGACAACTAATTATAGTTGTCTCTTTTCTACTCAGCTTATAGAATTAATACCTTAGTAACCTGCATTAGGGCCTGATATATATTTTAATAAGGTCCTAACTTATTGCAGATAATAACTTCATCTGAAAATAAAAATATTTTCTTATAATGTTATTATCTGCAGTAAGCCCTTGAGAATGGATTAGACGGTATTTAAACAATTATGTTATTTTTAATCAACCTAAAAATACAATAGCATTTCTGCCATGCTCAGTGGCTTTCCCAGTTTGGAAAATCTTTTTTTCTAGAAATAAAATCAATACCAAAATAATTTAGGAATTATTCATCTTACATTTGGCCTAGCATGACAATTGCAACATTATTCTGATACTGTGGAAAGATGCCCCAGAAGAAACTAGTAGGCTTGTGGTGTCAATCTCTCAGAGATCAATGGTTCCGAAACAGAAAGCTTTCAAGTTTTACAGTTGGCAGTGGACCCCTATAGCAGTCCAAGGGGACAAAGGTGTGTAGTGTGATGCAGGACGTGCAGAATTCAAGTTCCAGAGGTCATGCCAAAAGGACTAGAAAATTTTGTTCAAGGTTTTCATTAGATCAAGTTCTATAAAAAGGAAAAGCAGATGATCAAAAAACAAAGGAGTTTATGTTTCAGAAAAGAGCAGTTTATCTAGACGTGGCTGTGGATGGAGAACAAGTTGCTCAGGTTTGGAATCAGTTTTGAAGCCAAGGCTTTACAAAGCCCAATAAACAGAAACCTTACAATTGTAAATCTGGGACAACAGGATTGGTATAAACTAAAGAGCAGGCCTGTGGTTGACAAACAGCAGTAGTAGTGTCATAGCAGTGTAATAATTTAAACACTCTTTGCTACAATGCCCCGTATAGTCTTGTACTGGAACACTGCAGAAAATATGTAACATTTCTAGCCATCTACGGCTCTGCCTATTATTATCATCACTCAGCAGTATAGAAATATTGAGAAGACAAGCATTTATGGGGTAAGCAGCTATAATAACAAATCATATGCTATTAGTGCAAAACTGGATTTCATCTGCAAAATGTTTTGCTATGTGGAAATGAACCCATAGGGGGACTCAGACATAAATTAATCAAGTAAGTTGGGAAGAATTTATAAGAAGAATATGTGCATGTAGAACCAGATTCTGAACATCAGGCTTCAGAAAGCAAAATTATGGGTTGTAGGACACCACATTCTACACTTCACATGAAGTAGATGCAGTTTTCTTCAGACTGTTAACAATGCTTGACTGAAATGAAATCTATTTTAAGAGAGAGGCTTGGCTTGGAATAAGATGTAAGTGACAGAATTGCTGAACTCTGCTATAATAGCCCATTAGAAGCAATTGACTGCCCAGGCATATTATGTTTAAATAAGTAACTTTAGGCAGTCCAGGTAGTGATGCTTTCAGTTTAATTTTTATTTTTATTTACTAAATGACAACGGTGGAAGGAAAAACAACTTGTGAAAATGATAAAAGGAATCCAAGTGGATTGGACAAAACTGCTATTGAGGGGCAGCCAGAAAATGAGGATTATATCTCAAGGCATATTCTGAAACAATATCTCTAAATAGAATGGCTTGATAGTTAACAGGTTGGAAAGAAATTGAAAGGTGAACTTTCTACAGTATTATCTCTATGTGATTAGAATTTGGGGGCCTATGTAGTATAACAGGAATGTACATAAAATGAGGTATCTGTTACGCCCTTTGTGCAAGCCTTGGGCACTGCCAGTGGGGCAAATAGAGTCTTCAGTGGAGAGGTCACAATCCCCACATTGCTTTTATTTTTAAAGTCTGCAGCCCTTCTAGAATTTGAGGTATGAAGCAAAATGTGTAGACATCTGTTACAAATTTGTTCCCTTCTTTCACTGTTTTTAACCAATGCTATAGCAATGGCAGAACTTTGAAAACCCTACAGCATAGGGAAGGGTTAGGGTGATGTGATGTGTGTTGGGATATGTGTTGTTATTTAAAGGCAGTGTATTGTGGGATGAAATCAATTGCAACAGAAGTGCAGTTTATTAAAGACAGGAACACTGCTTTGTGTGTAGCTTGAAGCAAGGCCAGAAGCTTAATATCTTCTTGTCCTGGAGACCTAGGTGGAGAATTTCCTTGTCCCCATTTACAGTACAGCCTTGGAGCTGAGGCAGGTTAGTGTTTTTGAATGCATGTGATAATAGAGGACTCCGTGGGGTAGATACAGAATTCTTTGTAAGTTTCCCAGATAATAGAGACTAGGAATAGAAGAAGAGTATGCAAGCAGAGCAGGAAAGCTCATTGTTTGTATTATTTGCATCAGAAACACCAATGGGCGGGGGGGGGAGCAGAGGAGGAGCTGAAATGAGCCAGGAAAAATAATTGAGGATTTAAGCTCAAGATGTCCAGACCGTTTCAATTTCCTCTTGGGAGCAGTAGACTTGCTCTACAAATATTGAGGCTATGGGTTCTTGATTTGACAGATTGGGTCTAGACCTTGTTGCTGCAGAATCCTCTTATAAGAAATCATACTTCCAGATACATTCTGAAGGCTGGTAGGTTGGTTGTGCATCTGATTTCCTCCCCTCTCCAGCCCTATTTTAATTAGAGGTGGGTGGGTGGGTGGTTACAGTGGTCTTCCACATTATCGCTGTCAAGTTCCTGACGTACTACATATGAAAGTAACAATCACATCTCACTGTGAGGTTCCATCCCAAAATGTTCTTGGGAATTGCACTCTTTACACTTTTAGACCAAGGAACAAGAACATTAAGTGATTTTGCAAAGGATTATGTGGATGCAGAAAGTCCAGTATAAATGAGAATCTTTGATATTTAGCTATATTGTTTTATGGAAGGAGCCTTCTATTTAACTGGTTCCAGCTTTTTAACATAAGAGTTTTGCAAAGCTTTGATCTTTTTACATACATTTGCAGAAGCTATTATTTTATATATTTTAAGATTGATCTTAAGCATATTATTTAGCTTTATGAGATACCTACTTCTTGTCTCTACTGAATAGTGATTATAATGCTGAGTGGTTGTTTTTTTTTTTAAATTAATACTCTCATTTGTTTGATATTCCATATCTATGCTGAAAAGCATGCTGCAATGTACAGATAGAAGGCTTGAGTTAGATACTTAAAAATATGTTTTTAGTTGATCCTGCTTAAACAATCCAGTCACAAGCCATCAATCTTAATTTTCCAAGTTTTAGTGTTATAGTTACCAGGAAGTGTGATAAGGAAAGAATGTAAAGACAGGTTTCTTCATTCTAGTCTCTCTGTTTTACCCACATGGATACCACATTTGCATATTAACCTATACAGAATGGTCCAGAGTTTAGGTTTTTAGTTGGAAACCCTGCCCTTTTTGTACCAGCCATTACAGCAGCCAGGGTTCCCCCTATTTTTTCAGTTTTCATCTGCCACAGAAGTAGCATCTTGTTCTTTTCCTCTAATGTGGTTGTGATTTGGTTTTCCAGAAGACAAGGTGCTCCTATAGCTAGATATTTCTTTTATAACCAAGGTCACCAAGTTTTCTGAGTGCTTTTCCTATATTTTTTAAAAAGCAAGACATCCTCTGGAGAGTTTTCTCCATGCTCTTGATGTTTGTAGGGTTGTGGCTTTCTATCTCCATTCTGATAGTTCTTTTAATAAGAATCTGTGCTTATTCTATTAATATTTGGGTCAAGGCAAAGTACATAATTTCTCCTTAATATTTTGCTAAATGGGTCACAGCCCTTACTAGGCTGTTATAACCTAATTAAGCAGTCATGCCCTATGGGTAATCAGAGTCATTTGACAAGGACCGTGATCTCTTCAGTGGCCATGTTGAAAATCTGTTGTGCCGAAGTCCACTGACTTGTCATCTGTTTGATGTCTTTGCTGCTCTCTCATTTCAAGTAAAATAACCACACAGTGCCACAATGAAGAGTTGGTTAATTACCTGATATTGCATTTTTTGGGGGCCAACCAACCATCTTCCGCACTCCTTAAGCTCAGTGATAATTTATTGTGATTAGGGTCTGCAGGAAGGTTCAGAACTGAGAGAAATTTAGGTTTCAGCATTTAACAGCATATAATGTGTGCTATGGAGTGGCAGGACTCTCACAAAAAAAATTCTAAGTTCTGGGGCATTCCAAATAGGCTATTGCACTAGCACAGACCTCTATATATGAATTCGTGGATAACCTCTTAAAGAACCAGTTACAGCTAAGGAACCAGCTATTTTTAGACAGTTCTGTTGTATTCATTGCCTTGAATATGCTAATTCTGTTCATTTCTACCAATATTGGTCCTAATATAATGGTTAGGATCAGATTATGCTTCACAAAAGTTACAGTTCTAATATACTCTTGGAAACTTAAGAAAACTATGACAAGGTATTCTGTAATCATCATTTCTGTGAGAAGCAGCTTTATCCTAAGATAGTTACCACTGTTCTAGAATTGGCATTAATTTGCATAAATGGTATAATATAGTGGTAAGCCTATGGTTAGGGAGTGAGCTGTGAATGTTGGTGGAATACACTTGACTATACAGGTTAATACACTAACCAGAGCGATAGTGATAGTGAATAAGAACTTTGAGTACCTGGAGCTACTGGAGCAAGAGGCAGAGATCATAGGCTCCCAGTTCGTCAGTCGTGAGGGCATTTGGGGACTGAGGATGGCCACCTTCTGCACTTTTATTTTCTGATTGTTCCTTTTGTTCCTTTTACATCTTAGTGCTCTGTGTTTTAATGTGTTTAATGGATTTATATTTTAAGGATATAAACTGCAGGAAGTCCATGTAGTTTATAATGGCATATAAGTACAATCATTCAACTAATGGATTATGATAAATGCTGAGCCTTCCCAAAACATACCATAGAATGCATAGGCTGGCATGACGTATTCTGCCAAGCTAAGGCTACTATAACTGGCCTGCAAAAAAACCAGATGACCATGAGGTGGCAGTAGAAAGTTAGCTTTCTGGGTCTCTTTGCTGCCATTTAGTGGTCAACTTGATCTTGCAGACTTGAACTGGGAGTTCTAACAAAGCCATAACATGCTTTGTTTTTGGCTTAGTGCTGTGTATGAACCTGATATGGCTTAGCACAATGGTCATTATTTAATCAAGAAGCATGGTTTCTTAAAAATTATGGTTAAAAATCATGCCTCACCATGATATGTGTACCCAGTGATGAAGTATGGATAAGGTTACAGTGACAGATTTTTTTAAAAAAAGAAAGGGAGGGGATGTCAGAGGTGAGATAGTTTATCACCTTGTAGTCTGCTATATTCCTATCCAGTCTTTTCTAACATTAGTTCCCAAAACAGCAAACTTAACCACTTTTAAAGTGATAAATTTGTCCATATAATATAAGTAGAAGCCAGCCCAGCAGTCTAGCCAGAAAAAGGCTAAATTTTTGCTTTAAAGGATGCATTACTTTTCTCCTGCAATAATGCTATATATCAAAAGAGAGAGAAAAAATTAGTTAACATCACAAGAAGGAAATATAATCCAAAGAACCTGTTCTGGAATTCTTAGTGACTGTACAAACATCATCTATTGTGATAGCCCTAACCTAAAACCTCTTGGCAACTGTGCATAGTTAATGCTAATCAACATTGTAAGTGCTAATTGTGGTCATTTGGGCAGTACATGTATTATCAGAATGACTTTTGAGTCCTTCGTGGTGGTGGATTTTTTCCTCCTATGATTATTTTCCTGCTTGCTCTGTTAGACAAGAACATGCAAATTAGAAGATTTTATATCTTCTACCCGGAATCCTATAATCCGTTTATGGAAAGGGGTTATCATCAGAGGCTTGAAGTACATTCAAGGACATTAATATGGAAAAGGGAGATATCAAAGATGCAACTGGCTTCACACATCACTCTAAACATAGGATGTTTATAGTTGCTAATGATTCAATTCATGTTTAAAAAAATCATCCCCAATTATGGCTTAGTGTAATATATGAACCAGGCAATCATAACTATCAATTATTGTTCTTGGTGCCCTTCACTTGCTGTTAACTTTGACAATGCGGAAGCTGGATTCCCTCAGTCAACACGCTAACTCCATTGTTCTGTCTCCATTCTGCAGCAAATTGATGGTGAAGCCTTCCTCCTTCTGAATCAGTCAGACATCGTTAAAATCCTCAGCATCAAGCTGGGGCCTGCACTGAAAATATATAATGCGATCCTCATGTTCAAGACAGCAGAAGAAGACTGACTGAGAAATTCTCCGGGGCCGGGCTGGGCCAGGGGGGCAAAGCTGTGAAAGGCCTCCAAGTGCAGCTTCACAGCAGAACGCCCAGACTCCTGTTCCTGAAGACTGAGTGGATTGGAACCTTGGAAAGAAAATGACCGGGTCGTATTTCACATGGTTGTGGATAGAGAATATCGAAAGCATTCTGAAATTCAGTCCCTTTGGCAGCTTGGAACGGATGCGATGGCTTCCCTTCTAGGAAGAGATGTTTATTTTTTTTTTTCCTAATTGAATTTGGGTATGGTTATATTGATCTTTTGTAAAGATCTTGATGATGCCTCTAGTTATAAGAGGAATCCTGAGTATTTCTATTGATGGGAAGCTAAATTCAAGCAAACTCACTTACCTATTGATAGTGCCTAAAAGAGTCCAGCTTACCATTGGTGTGCTTCTACATGTACAAAACTTACAACTGGGTTTAAGAGAGTAAGGGAAGAGTGAGATACTTCAAAGCAGTGCAGTTGAATTACTCATCGAGCTCCTTTGTTTGTACCAGGCTAGTTTTAAACCTTGTTCTTTTATCTTGTTTAGCTATTTAAATATTGGCAATTAATATTTGGTAAATTGGAGAAATGAGGTCCATCTCCAAGTAGATTAATTTTCAGGTTATTATACCTGTTTTGCACACTGCATAATTTCAGAGTTCAAAATATTAAATTAAAACTGTTAAATAAAGACCACTGGATATGGTTCCACCAGAAGGTAGGCCAGCTATTTAGGTGTAGGATCAGAGTAACACAACTATGGGACTATGTGGTTGTTTTGTTTGTTTGTTTGTTTTTTTAAGTTCCTATCTTCCTGCAGGTCAGTGCAAGGTGGAATTAGGTATATAGGGGACACATCCAGCTTTGACATGATATATATTTCTGGCAAGGTTTTTGGTTTTTTTTTAAAACAAATACTGATGGTCCTATTTCTTTGTTTTTGAAAGTACTGTTGTTTTACACACAGGTGTATTAGCTTGAATCTGTTCTCATTGTAAGTCAGAAAGAGCTAAACATACCAGTCACTAAGCATCACCTATCATTACAGTTGGGCTGGTGTGGGAGTTTCTCAAGTCTTGCTGAAATAAAATGAACTGCATCTGCACAGCGGTAGGCTCAGAGGTCCTAAGCATAATCTCTTCACATTTGTCCTTCTGATGTCCTGTGGACCTAAGGAAGTCTTTTATGCCATAGTGCAGAAAAAGTTCTGCTCCCAATTGCTATCACTTTCTCAGTCTTGAGAACAAAATTTGGCTACTTTACTCTGCTGGAGTATACTCTGGGGGAGGTTTTGATGGATCAGAGCCATTTGGTTGGAAGAGACAATAAGAACAGAAATGTAAGGTATCAAAAGAACATGCAAACGGAGCAGTCCGACAGAAATCTTCAATAGGAGACCACCATTTTGAAAACTGATTTGTCTGTGACAATGTTAGTCTTGTGCAAGTGATAATTGAATAGTGTCCTTTACATCTAACACTGAACAACAACATTAGAAATTTTTTCATTAACCACCTAGTATAACTTGGGAAGAGGGCATTCTTTATTACTGGCACATAACCTGCTCCTCCCTTCAGATTTACACTGACCTGGTATTTTGCAAGAATCCTTGAACTAATCAAATGAGGTATTTTATTTATTTCATTCGATGCCACTTGTAGAATGGGTAAGCATTTAATCTCAAGTTAAAAGGCTTTTGGTTAGCATAAAAATGATGGTGTTGTGCTATAAGTGTCACTCATCCCTTTCTAAAAAATGTGAACTAGCAAAGGATGTATCTTTTTCCGTGTGTTGGTGATGGTGCATCCTTGGTGATTTGTCATTGGCCTTAGAAGTGAATATGTAACCAGCCTTATAAGTGAATTTGAGATATGACTGTCAGGAATGATGTTGGCATTTGAGTTACATCCTCTTCACAGCTATCTCTGCTTCTGATTTTCCAACTTTTTAAGACTCCCTGTAACCTTCCTAAAATCAAGGTGACATAAAAATGTGTAAATAATGCACAAACCAGGTTGCTGAGTCTGAACAATATTGAATAAATCTGCAGTGGCAATATGTCTCATATCTTTCTATTTTTATATAAGTCATTAAAGAATATAAGCCTTACTTACGCCATCACTTAAGGACAAGGATAGAGAGGCTCAAAAAGAAGATGCTGATGTGCCGTAGATAGACCTTTGCATTAAAACAGTAACTCTATATAGCTTCTCTTCTACTAGGAGAACATTTTAAAAAAAAAATTCTAAAGTGATGTGGGAGAATAATTGTAGAAGGTAAATTCCTCTTAGTATTATCTAAGCATATTTGTTAAAAAATAACCATTTGCAGCTTCTGTAGGGCAAAATGTTTAACAGCATGTTTATGTCTTTCAGAATTCTTTTGCAAAGCAAATTTTTTTGAACAGAATACTCATGAGTGAGCTTCTTTTCTCTGAATTGACTTCTAGGACAATTTTGCTAATTAAGTTTTTAAATGTAGGAATACTCTGATGGTTGCTTATGGCCACATGACATGAAAATGATTGTTACTAACAAAACAGAATATCAAGCTACTCCTATCCCTCCCATACACATGGTCAATGGAAGGGTTAGTAGTTGAGTGAACACAAAAAAGTTCAGTTGACCTGATCAATTGACATCCCCACCGTTTACATTTAAACCAGAATATACCCAGCCATGTGCAGTGTTAATTTAGCTCCACCCAGTGCCAATTTTGTCTTGAGGACATCTAAGCCTGGTTACCTACTTAGTCTGCTAAGAAAAAGAACTAGAAAGAAAGAGCATCTGCAAAAGCAGCAGAGAACTTGCTGCCAAGGTTTGGCCCCCCAGAACCCACTTTCCAAATTCTGCTGCAGCACCCAAGCCAAGGTTCCTGGTGCCACCGGACCGATGGGAAGGCTTGGGGCTAGTGACGGTACAAGAGAGCCTGGTTGGTACTCTCCTGGCACAAGAGCTAACGAGGCGGGAGGCACTTTCTGGAGAGGGGTCTTAAACTTGCAACCCAGAGGCCACTTGCAGCCTTCCAAATCTCACCCCACAACAATACTATGCAGGGCAAGAAGTATGTTCTGCAGATGAGAAAAAAGCAGAAGGGAAGAATAATGGCTCTGGCCTGCAAAGACAAAAGGAAAAAGAAAAGTGGGCAGCCCTTGGCGGGATGGGTTTCCTAGGTTATATCATCTTAGAGAAAATATTGTTTATCAACCAAGTAATAAAATCAAATATTGGTGTTCTGGTTAATGAAAAATGCTGCCCTACAGATTACAACCACTCCATCTCTTGGTGTTCCAGTCTTAACCTACTGCACAAACATAGTGCCTAAAATGAAAGGACTCGTGCAGGTCTGTTCTAGAAGTAGCAGTTTCCTGGTACAGTTTTTTGTTTTAATTTAATATATTCATGTGTAGCAGCACACCATAATTTACTTCATTTTTTACTCAATAGAGTTTTGTATCAATATGAGACGTCTGCAGTGTCGCAGCCTTTGGGCTTACGAACTAGTCCTCATGAAGCACTTGTGACAATCTTAAGTTTGAGACCTTTGTCCTAGAGAAACTGAATGGGGACTTTATTTTCCCCCAAATGGTGTTTTTTGCCTGATGGAGAGTTCTGGAAAACTTGAAAGCCTAAAACTGCGTTTGGGTGACATTTTGACCAGTTGTGATAAAAAACATTCTTACCTATGTAGTGGGAGGAAAGGAATTTAAGATCTTGACTTATTGTGGATTCTCCCCCCCCCCTTTTCTTTTTTGGAATGCATATATAGTAAAATTTCATTCCTGCTGCATTTACCCAGTATTAATCTTATGCAAAGGCTTAGATGTCTCTGCTTGTCCAGGCATTTCCATCTGCTTTGAAACTCCAAGTCAGAAGCCCATAGAAAGGGGGATAAGAAAGTTGACTTTACTGGATTCAAACATTTTGGGTTCGGTTTGCTTGCTTGTTTTAAGTACCTACATTTCTTACATGTTAGACATGATACAGTGAAGGCTTGCTCTTTGTGAACCAGACCAACATGAAGAGACCACCATTCTGAATGTATTACGTTCTAAATTTAGATTCACCCTCCCCTTCAATTTCCTCTCAGCAAGGAGCCTTGATTAAAATTTCCTGTGCTATCAGAAACTATCACTGACATCATCTGACAGTAGTAAATTTCAGCTCTGGGAGATGCCTCATATCAGGATTTGCAAAGAAGCACAAAATGACAGCAATAGCCAAAAATATTACAGGGAAAGTTTTTAAAGAAAAAAAAACAGCCCAGGGACAAGCGAGCGCGGCCATGAGACTTCGGCCAGGCTCCTCCTGTGCTCCGGGTAAGAGATTTCATCTAGAAAAAGCTTTAAGTGTCTGACATTCTCTCTACTCTGTGATGATGAGTGAGTTTATTTCTGAAATGTCCCATTACTTGAATTTGAGATGTATGCAGAACAAGAAGCAGCTGTCAGTGGGACTTTGGTTTGCAGGGCTGGACCTTATTTTGCCCTATTCCAGCCCGGAAACATGGGCCTTGAAAATGTAGCCTGTTCTACCCTTTGTCCCTGCAACATGACCACACTCTTCTTGCAAGGAGCAGCAGGGCCCAGGCAGGGGTCAGCATCGGGCTGCTACTGAATTCCTAACCCTCCTGAACAACCACTGCCCCGGACTGATGAGGGCTGCTGTTTCCGCCCACCATTTAGGCCCAAGTAGATGCAAACCTCAGAAGCTGCTGTGGGGGGGGGGGGCGGGGGGGCGCTATTTGCTAAGCTCTTCAGCCAAGTTCCTGGCCCTTGAAGTAGATATAGATTAGATCGATGTTTGTCAGCCTTGGCAACTTTAAGATATGTGGACTTCAGCATGCTGGCTGGGGAATTCTGGGAGTTGAAGTCCGTATATCTTAAAACAGTCAAGGTTGAGAAACACTGGATTAGATAGAGGTAGATAGATGATAGGTGATAGATGGTAAAAAATGATAGATGAGAGAGAGAGAGAGATGAAAGAGATTTTATTATGGTCACAGACCAAAATTGAAAATAAAACCTGTTAAAAATAAGCCCCAAACAGGATAAGAATGTTACAGTTGGTGGTGGGTTCATCAGTGAGGCAGTCAAGGTGTGTCTGATGTTACAGGCAGTATAATAGAATTTGGCTACATTCAAGGAAACTAAATTATGCCTTTGTGACTCAACATCCTTCGGTTTTGCACTCTTGTGCGCTTTCCTGCATATTAATAAATCATTAGTCAAGAGTAACTT